GTGAAAAATTCATCTTGGCATCAGAGCAGGTTGCAACCTTCTTGCCTCTTTTATCCATGGTTAACGAAAGTGCTACCAACTCCTGAAAAACTCCCAGCTCAAATAAAACCTCTCTCTAGTCTGCTCTTGACCTACCAAGAAACAATTCTGGTTCTACCTCTCTAAACCAGAATTGTTCTATCAAACTTGACAAAACAAACTATACCCTTTAGTCACATCTAGTGCTTCCTACCATTAAAGGCCACAAGCTCGAAGGCTTTATTAATGGCACCAATGTGTGTCCTTCTCAGTTTATTGTGGAAAATGATGTTACCAAGCTCAACCCAGCCTTTGAAGATTGGGTGGCTGCTGACCAACTCTTATTTGGTTGGCTTCTTAACACAATAACCCTAGATGTTTTAGCAGAGATGACTGGAGTTTCAACCTCTGCAGGTTTATGAAGTACTGCTCGTGTTGTGGCTAGTGCCCAAAACAAAGCCAGGATGCTTTTGCTTCGTTCTAAACTTTAGAGAACCAGGAAAGGTTCTTCTTCAAAGCAAAATTACTTGTCCAAGATGAAATCTCTAGCTGAGAGTTTTGCACTTGCTGGAAGTCCAGTGATAAATTTTGATTTGCAACTTCAAATTATGGCTGGTTTAGATGCTGAATATAATGCCATAGTGGTACAACTCTCTAAGGAAGAAGACCTTAGCTAGCTAGAATTCTCAGCTTCTCTACTAACTCATGAATCTCGTCTTGAGCAACTGAATCAAGTCAATCAAGGTAATATTTCTGCTTAGTTTGCTCATCTTGCTGTCACTGATTCTTCTTCTCGTGGTGGCTGGTGTGGCTCTCGTGGTCGTGGACATAGAGGCAGAGGGCGTTCAGGTCGTGGTGGTGATAAAATACCCTGTGCTCTTTGTGATAAACCAGGCCATAATGTTAAAAACTGTTTCAAATGCTTTGACAGATCCTTTAAACCTCTAACTAATAGGAACAGTTTTGAATATGGAAACTCTTCCTTGATTTGGTCTATTATGTTTCACCAAAAATTGTGAATGATGATTCCTGGTATCTTAATAGTGGTGCTACTACTCATGTTACAAATGACTCATCAAGGCCTGAGAATGCAGTGAAAACAGATAGTAAGGTCAAATTATTTGTTGCTAATGGACAAAATATGCTAGTTGAGCAAATGGGTTCTTCTAATATTCACAATATACCTAGTCTCTATTATTCTTAATAATATTCTCTATGCCCTTAATGCTAAGAAGAACCTGATTAGTATTCCTAAACTATTAGATGACAATTTTGCTAAGATTTCTCTAAATTCTTTTGCTGCCATTGTCAAGAAACAGGGGACAAAAACCACACTGCTTTAAGGAGTAAGAAGTAAAAGGGGACTGTACAAGGTAGATGCAAAGAAGGTTAGTTTGTAGAAGAACTTTTTTGACAATTTTAGAGGCTCACATACAACTCTCTCGACAGAACAAGTTGACAGCAATAAGAATAATACTGCTAGTTCAAAATCTAGCTCTATTAAGAAGCTTTGGCATTGTAGATTGGGTCATCCTAGTCCTAGAGTTCTAAATCAAATTATTAGTGCTTGTAAGTAAAGTTGAATGAAAGTAATGGACCTATTTTCTGTGAACCTTATAAATTTAGTAGATCTCATGCACTACCATATAAGGTTTCTACTTCTTATACATTACATCCTCTTGAACTGATACATATCGACCTATAGGGACCTTCTCCGGTCTAATACTTAAATCATTACAAGTACTATGTGCTGTTTCTAGATGACTACAGTAGATATAGTTAGATATTTCCTCTGAAAAGTAAGGATGAAGCCTTACAAATGTTTCTCAAGTTTAAGCAATATGCTGAAAATCAATTTGAGAGAAAAATAAAAGCAGTTTAAAGTGATTGGGGAGGTGATTATAGAAGTTTTACTAAATGTTTACAAGATGTTGGTATTCATTTCAAGCATTCATGCCCATATTCCTCTCCTCAAAACGGTAGGGCTGAGAGGAAACACCGACACATCATTGAAATGGGATTGACTTTACTAGCTCAAGCTAGTATGCCTCTATTTTATTAGTGGGAGGCTTTTCATACAGCTACTAAATTGATTTAGACTTCCTACACCTGTGCTAAGTGATTCCTCCCCATATCAGAGATTATTCAAGAAAGATCCTAATTATAATTGTCTAAAAGTTTTTGGTTCAGCATGCTATCCTTGTTTAAGGAGTTATAACAAGCACAAATTGCATTTCAGAAGCACTAAATGTGTGTTTCTAGACCACAGTAATCATCACAAAGGGTACAGATGTCTGAGTTCTACTGGCAGAGTATATATGTTGAGAGATGTAGCATTTAATGAAAATTCTTTTCCATTTGTAGATGGGTTCATGAACAAAAAATTACCTGAAGAGGAAATTGATCCCCATGTCTTCTTTAGACCACTTTTATCTCTACCTCTCACTCAATGTTCAAGTTCAAATACTGAGCAAAATTTTGCTCAAATATTACTGAGCAGAGCCCTGTGTTTGCTACTCTTCCTATACAAAGTGCGAATTCACAAGTTCAATTTCAAGTGCAACCTAATCAAAGTATCAAAAGTGAGGAAATACATGGAGAAGATATTAGTGAAAGTGCTTGAGATTATACTCAAGTCTCTAGTACTGTTCTTACTGATTTGAATTCTATTTTTGCTATAGCACCGATTATTGAGACAATTGAACAACCATCTATTTCATCTATTAGAGATCAGAATAAACACAAGATGGTTACACGAAGCAAGTTAGGTATTTTCAAACCTAAAACTCTATATGTTGGTTTAGTTACTAGTAAATCAAGCGACATTACTACTGAACCTTCAAGTACTCAAGAAGCTTTACAATCAAAAGTATAGAGAAAAGCAATGGTTGATGAATTTAATGCACTTATCAGAAATAAAACTTGGGTTTTAGTACCCTTTACTGGAAAAGAAAGACCTTTGAATTGCAAATGGGTGTTTAAGAGAAAACTTAGTCCTAATGGATCATTTCTGAAGGCTAAAGCCATATTAGTTGCAAAGGGATTTCAACAATATCTAGGAATTGACTATGATGAAACTTTTAGCCCTGTCCTAAAGCCCTCTACCTTGTGATTTATTCTTACAGTAGCTGTCTGTTTCAACTGGCCTCTCCGACAATTAGACATAAACAATGCTTTCTTGAATGGTTTTCTTCAAGAAAAGGTCTTAATGAAACAACCAGAGGGCTTTATGGATAAGAGATTTCCACATCACATTTGTTTGTTGAACAAAGCTATCTATAGACTTAAACAAGCTCTAAGAGCCTGGTTTGAGAGGCTAAAACATGCTCTTTTAAGCTGGCAGTTTATTCACTCCAAATGTGATAGTTCATTATTCTTTTTCAAAACACAGTCATATATTATGTTTTAACTGATCTATGTGGATGATATTATCATTACTGGCAACAATCTGATTATGCTCTCAACTTTTATCAGAGAACTAAATGTGCTCTTTCCTCTTAAAGATCTAGGGAATTTACATCATTTTCTTGGGATTGAAGCATACAAAGATTCTAACAGTCTCTACCTAAAGCAAGAAAAATATATAAATGAGCTTCTTAATAGATTCGGAATGTCTAATTGTTCCCCTGTTCCTACTCCCATGGTAGTGAATAAAAATCTGTCTATTTATGATGGTGTACCTCTTTCAGATATCTCTCTCTACAGAAGAGCCATTGGATCATTACAATACTTAGTTAACACCAGGCCTGATATTATGTTTGTGGTTAACAAACTTAGTCAATTTTTACAAGCTCCAACTACTGTTCATTAGCAAGCAATGAAGCGTCTTCTGCGATACTTAAAGGGAACAAAAGATCTGACATATTACATTCAACCAAGCAATTATCTCAACTTACACGGATTTTCTACTGGGAATGTTGCATAGACGATCAAAAATCCTTTGGAGGATATTGTGTCTTCTTCGATGATACTCTCATAGCTTGGTTTGGCAAGAAATAGCATGTTGTCGCCCAATCAAGCACTGAATCAGAATATAGATCTCTTGCAGATCTTGCTACCGAACATGCCTGGCTTCATTCTTGATGGAATAAATTGGAGTTAAGCTAAATCGTATCCCGATAGCTTGGTGCGACAAGTTGAGTGCCTCTACTCTTGCTTCTAATCCTGTATATCGCGCTCAAACCAAACATATAGAGCTTGATGTTCATTTTGTCAGAGATAGAGTGATTGATCGAAAGCTTTTGGTTCGATATGTTCCTTCTTCAGAGAATTTAGCAGACTTGTTCACAAAGGCAATGAGTCATTCTTGTTTTCTGACACTGAAAAACAAACTCGGACTCATGAAAAGCCTAGTCTCTCGTTTGAGGGGCATGTTGAAACATTAACACAAAAGCCCAATATCAACACAATAGCCCAATACGTTTATGTTCAGTTTGAAATGAATTAGGCCCACTCCTTGCTTTAGCAGATATTTTGTGGGTAGTGTTGTAATTTTATTTTTCCCACTTTTATGTACACATTATTATTTATTCTAGGGTTTCTCACCCTACCTCTATATAAAGAAAATAAAGGGCCCAGGCACTGTGCGCCTTTTCAGACTATTTCCTTTTTAGTGAAAAATTCATCTAACTACATAATATATAGATGGGACCCACATATAGATTCTAGCCAATGTCCTCATTTGAACCTGTGGTCGTCAAAACGAGATGTGGATTTACTGAAACGAGAGACGTGTGAATCATACCACCTAGAAGAGAAGACTTATTATGTTAACAACTACTCCTTTTGATTGTATTTATACTTCTGATACATAAAAAATCTTGGAACTTATTAAAAGGAGGGACCTATGCTTTCACGTCTACATATGCAAATCAAACATCCACAAATTCAAAGCTTCAATACATCTATTCTCAAATGAGAAATTATTTAAGACAACTTCAGTCTTCAAATATGTAGATATAAAGTACGATGAACCCTTGTGATCACGCTTTTCTGGTCACAGACAAGGTGACATTGATGAATTCAGTTTTCTCTTTGGACATATGGTCTGTTAAGATCTCTTGGTACCTCTTGAAAGCTTCTTCAACGACACGCTCGCCGAAGTGGCTAATCAGTAAGGGTTCGGCCACAGCTCTCATGCACTTTGTGACACTATATCCACCATCACTCACTGCTTCGGACTTACTAAATTCACTGTCTACTGCGTTCCAATCATCGTACGCATTCCAATTCACTGCTGATACCTCCATGCGATTGATGCTGAATGACCCTTGTTTCACTATCTCTTGTTCCACTTCAGATGGGGATGGTGTGTATTGGGGTATATTGAACGAGTCCACTTCCTCTTCTTTTATAATTCCCTGTAATTAACTCATGGTAAAACATATTAGTACGTTAGGTACTTTTTGCATATGAAAATTGAGGTATATTAATTTCATCCTCAAGCCTAAAGGATAGAGATGGTGACAGCAATGTGTATCTTGTTAGGATGGCATAACGGGTTCAATCTTTTCCATATCAATCATGAAAAGGACGCTGGAAGTTAAAATTAAAAATATGATTACCATGGAGGCCATGTCATTGAGTGCTGTGGCCATAAGTTCCCAAATAAGGCAACCTTCTTTGCTAGAGGGGTCATCACTTTTTCTACCCAAAAATGTGAGCACCATAAAGCCCCCTTCCACCACTTCCTTTGCACGACACTCGAGAAACAATGAAAAGTCTTTTTGAAATTGTTGGTAATAAGCCTTCAACACATTTGAAGGGCTTGTGCGTGCCATGTAGATATTGCCCTTATTGTTCTCCACTCCTTTGGGAACCTTAAGCATTAACCAAAATCATCATCAATAATCAAACATTATATTAATTTATGCAAAATTGTTTACGACATATAAGAGGAGAAAAAAGGATCTCAACAATCTCAATTCAAACCAGTGAATTTATGATACCTGAGATAACCACTGAAGGCTATAAGAGGAATGGACAAAATGGAGACTTCTTGAAGGAAAAACCCTGCCATAGAAGGAACCAGGGATCCCGGCTAAGAAGCCATGACCAACCCCAGAAACCATTTCACGACTGAGTCTGTCGTTGAAGCTTCCAAGAGACCTGAAGATGTTGTTGAAGTCATTCCCTGGAAGATCATTCAAGAAGACTTGGTATTCCGGAGATAGAAGGTTAAGCTCCCGGCAAAGCTTCTCCACTGTTTTGATAACTTCAGAAACCACAAAGAAAGTGTTTGGACCAGAAGAGCAACCTAAGTCTGCAATCACTAGTCTTTCCGGGAGCGTTTTGCAGCACAAGGTTGTTATGGCTTCCTCTCGAATCGGCTTTGTCAGTGTCAGCACCTTTTGCTGTTTCCCATCAACCAAAAAAAGAGTTACAATTAAGTTGTATTCTGTGTTACTGATCAAATAGTTTCAATTTTCTGAAATATTGGTGTGGCAAGGAAGATGCAATTCATTAAAAGTGGTAATTGTTTAATGAATGATGCCTGAACTAAGGAATTGTTTGCATAGCTTGCTTCTCCCACGCCCCCATTCATGTGCAGCACTTGAGTTACCTCCATATTCATGGCGTCTTTTTTCTCTCTGATGTATTGGTTTTTTTTTTTTTTTTAATGATTTCTCAAGTATCCCTTGCTTCTGTGTTTTTGAGTGTCATGTGACTTTTGAGTAATCTATTTATAGATGCTGCGGCTCTTACATGCGTGGGAGAAAACAAAATGTTTTGTGGCCGGCGCTGGTCTGTCAATCTTTTTCATCAGAGGATAATAAAATTCGTTATGTTTTTGTTGCTAACAATCAATGAACACGGACGAGTCCGTTCTCTGCACTCCGCAGACAAATTAAAATACGGTGTTTCATGATAATCAAAGTTGAGGTTAACAAGTTTAGAAACGGGCCCCACGTTTTGCTCAGTCTTCGCCATTTATAAATTAGTATGATTGGTTATCTTGTATGATTGGTTGTCTTGTAAACTAAATTAGTCCGTGTGTGTCTGTATCACTGCGCCTCCGTCACTGATATGAGGTAAGCAGTAGTGAGGTTGTCAAGAGTCGGATTCCAGAACGATGGCAACGTTGCCACTTGCGTGCATGCTCCAGCGTTGTTTCTCAAATTAAATTTAATCATATCATTTTCTTCAACAAACCTCATGTTGTCGCTTTGTTCCATTGAACTGTGATCAAGGTCGCTTTGTGCCATTTAATCATATATAATCGGCTATTCTATATCATTACACAATACAAAAATCTTAAGAAAAATAAATGGACTCATACAGTCGGTTATAAAAACAATAAATCAATAGATTCGTTATTCAACATTTCAAGTATAAATTTTCAACCATATAATATATCGATGCGTACGATGTCAATGTTTACGTATTTCTTCAAAGACGAAATTTCAACCACCCATTTATAGATTCTTGCTAATGTGCTCATGTGGACTTGTGGTTGTCAAAACGAGATGTGGATTTAATGAAACGGGATACATGATGTGAATCACACCACCCAGAAGACAAGATTTGATAAGAATATGTTAACAACTATTCCTATTGATTGTATTTATACTTCTGATACATAGAAAATCGTAAAACTATATATCTTAATTTATTTAAAAATAAAAACTTTAATTATATAAGGTTAAGTATATAAGTTTTTTTAAAAAAAATTAAATAATATACACTGACACTTAACAGGGGTAGTAAAAGAGAAAATTGCAATAAAAAATAACGACATCTCTTATAATTGAGACAAAAAAAAATTAAGGGAGAATTATATCCAAGTTTCACTTTAGATAATTAATTACTCCTAGGTCTATTGTAATTGAGCTTAGAAAAATTAAAATAATGGATCTGATAGTAATTAATTATCTTGAATGGAAGCTTACAGTAATTCTCCCAAAAATCAATCCCTCTCGAACAATATAAATGAGATTAGCCGGAGGAAGTATCGTTGGAATATTCTGGAATAATTGGCAATCAACAGAAACCATCGTAAATTTGACAACATCATTACTCCTCATTTTGTGAGTTCACACCTCTGACGTCTCAATACCCTACTCGCCAAAACTTGTTTTAAAGAACAAAATGCGTGCTGCATTATTTAAGGTGATAAGAAACATTGGGATCATGACCTTGATTGATGCTTGCAATTCTTAACTTCAACGAATGTGTCGGCCACATGCATTTTCAAGTTTTGATAAAATAACAATAATAATTTGTGTTCTCTTTAACAATCCTCATTTTGTCACTTTGTAAATACAACAATATTCTTTATTTTGAATTTAAGATAGATCTATAGAAGCACAGGTTTGCTGAACTAAACGATTCTTAAATTTAAGATGGTAATAGTAAATATGTTTGACATAAGTAAATATATATATTTCTTACTTTAGTGCAAAATTTAAACCATATTCAATTTTAGTCCTTGTTGTTTACTCATTGTAATTTTGTTATCTTCTTGGGTATGCGTTTATGTTCTTTCTTCTTATTCTTTTTGTTTCGCACCAGAAGCATGCTACAACTATTTTTTTTTAAAGCTAAAATATAAGATCAATGTAAAATTTCTTTTTTTATTAATTTTAAATGATTATTTTTTTCACGAATTATTTTTATTTTAAAAAATTAAACTTAGTGTGGCAACATTTAAAAATATTTTATTATTATTTAAAAGACCAATGTAATTTTTTTTATGATGAAACTAATGACATTATAGTTAAAGGATTGAAAAAATATTTTATAAAAATAATAAACTAAAATAAAATCTTGTATAAAGTTAAAAGATTAAACTTGTGTTTTGGAAAAAAAAAATTAAAAACTCTTTTATATTTTGAATAGCATTATTAATTTCAAAGGAAAAACGATGATGATATTAAGAATTGAAGGGATAAGACGGTAGATCACATTTCAGGTTATATTAATGAAAACAGAGGGAGAGACGTTGGGTTAATACCGTCATCACATATGACACACACACACACACACACATGTATGTATGTATATATATCTTTCCTTTTCCGATTGTATTTACGTGTAGGCTTAATTAATGAATTTGTGTAGGGAATGCAAAATTAAAAGTTTAAATTGATAAAAATGAAAAGTCTTTTTTATAAAGTATTGTTAGTTTGCATCGTAAATTGTAGAAAGTAGTCCACATGCATATGCAATGAATGATACTTTAAAATGTATACTACATCACAATACAGAAAGTGGTCCATATGCAATCTCCGTGATCCCTTAAACATGTATACTACATCAGGTAACAAAATTTGAAGTGTTGGACAGTTTTGTTCTCGTTCCACCGACGTATAAGTGAAAATGATATTTTAATTTCCGTTTTCTTAAGCGTACCAAAATAAGTAGGAAAACCAATTTTCTACATTTCAAGCTAAGGCTGATAAAAAAATTACTAAACTTAATCAGCACCAAAATATTCACGTTGAAGTTGAAGGGACTCATTACCCTCAATCATCTTCAAGAATTTGAACCTCTATTGGAAAAACAAAGGTAAATGAGCAAAAATACTTACAAAGTAGTCAGTTAGAGGCACCAAATATCTTAAAATGAGGAAAAAGAAAAATACTTATAATGTTACATGAGTGGATGCAAAAGTGACAAAACCATTAATTTTAAACTAACGTCGTTAACTTTAATCGTTAAATACTAGCTATGCATACCACGTGTCATTCTTTACTAATGTGGACTAATAAAGGGGTAAAAATATCCACAAATTCATCGGCCAGGAGCAAAAATATCCACAAAGTCATCAGCTAAGAGCAAAATACCCATAATGTTTCTAGAGTTGATGCAAAGTGATAAATCCATCAAATATCTTTAATGTTAACCGTTTAGCTAGTACCTAAGCAAAAGTTGACCATTTTTTTGCTGATATAAATATAAAATATTCCCAGATGAAATTCTTTGGAGGTTAATTGGTCATTGTATGAATATCATCTGAGAAAATGTCATTTTGACTGACTATCAAATTACATTGCTTGTTTCTTTGCAACAGTGGCAAAAATTATTTAAAAATTTTAAACCTATCATCAATGAAATTGCTTAAGGTTGTAACAATGTTCTTAAAGTAGGGTGGTGTAGGAGGTATGCTCAATCTCAATGTTTGATTATGTACAACCTATCTCAATATGTTGAATATCAAGTTTTGCAAACAAGAAAAAGAGTATGGAGATGGAGGAAGGAAGGAGGTGAAATACATGGCAATGGAAAGAAGTTATGTGGCATGGATTTTGACAGATTAGCCACTATTGCACCTACTAAAGTAACATTATGGGTACTCATACGATAATCGATTAACATTCGTAAAAATTTATTTGGGAATATTTTTTTTCTACATCAGCCAAAAAATAGTCAACTTCTACTTAGGTATCAGCTAAATGATCAACATTTAGGAGATTTGATAGATTGATTACTTTTACACAATCTCTAGAAACGTTATAGGTATTTTTGCTCTTAGCCGATGACTTTGTAGATGTGTTTGCTGCTGACTGATAACTTCATGGGTATTTTTGCCCCTTTATTAGTCCACGTTAGTAAAGACTAACATGTGGCATGAACAGTTAGCATTTAATAGTCAAAGTTAATGGTGTTAGATCAAAGTTAATAATTTGATTACTTTTACACCCACCTATGTAACGTTATGGGTATTTTTTCCCTTTTCCTCACTTTAAGATAGTGGGTGCCCCTGGCTGATCAATTTATGGATATTTTTGCTCCTTCACCTAGAAAAAAAATTGATATGCAACTCCACCTAATTTATGGTGATCAAACTGCTAGGGCGAAGAATTGGTTATCATCAGCTTGAGATGCAACTCCAGCTAATTTGGTGACTCCTCAAGCAATTTTAGCTAAATGACATCAATGAAATGTTTCTTAGTTAAGTTTAGCAATGAAGAAGATTTTCAGAGGTTATCAACTATTGGTCTCTAGGCCATCTATGGCTATTATCTAATTGTGTAGCTATAGAGTCCTTTCAAGCCTCAAGAGCACGTGATTAACCATGTCATTGGCTGGGTTTCCCTTTAAAGATCTTCCTACTAGATATTACCATAACAGCATTATAATATCTACCTTGACATTATCAATAATCACCACACAATTATTACATATACAACAGTAATTAGGAGCCATTAATTCCTCCTAAGCTTACCGTAATCATAAAAAGGTTAAATCAATTAAATATTTAAAATACAATTGAAAACCTTTGAGATAATGAAAACCATTTAAATAATAATAAAAAAACACAACTTCAGGGGCAGATGGTGGACTAGGAGGATTGAGGGCTGATCGATGGTGAGAGCAAGAATAAATGTATCTCACCTACTCTTGAGAAGAGAAATAAGAAGAGCAAGACGAAGAGGAGCTGACGAGGAAGAGGAAAAGGAACAGGGTTTAGCTGAAAATGGGTCTCTGAGGAAGAGGAAAATAGAGGAAATGGGTGGCGGCTGTTACTGACCGAAAATGGCTCTTTGACTCTTTTTGCTTGCAACTATGCTGATGCTTAGAGGAAATGAGTGTTGGCTGGATATGGGTCTTGGAAGAAATGGGTTT